TTCATTATTTCTTACCATAACTACACTTGCCTTGTAATGTCCCAGTTTTATATTATAAACAATGATAATTTCTATGTTATTTGAAAATGTATGTAAATGTATGACCAAGTCATTTATAGAATTCTACCAAATAATTCATTTATGTATGTACAGATTTGGAATATGCTCATTTCTAAAAAATTACTATTAATACTGTTACTTTTGTATTTAATGTTTGCCATATTCAACTTCCTATTTTGAAATTATCAAATAACAGTGCTCTATTTTTTTTCCTAATATATATATATATATATATATGTTTAGAGATTTAAGAATACATTTCAACCATTTGTCAAGTATTTTAGTAAAATATTTTCAAGATTTTATGTACAAAATTCACAATGTCTATTGACCTCAATAATGCATTTGGCAAAACTATATCAATTATAAATATTTTTAAGTCACAGAAAAAGGATCTTTCCATAATGGAGTAGGATTTTCCGGTTTCACAGTAGGTGTGAAGGGGCCAAGAAACGGTGTTTATAGTCATGGAGAAGGAGGAGCAGATGTCAGTGCCCAGAATCCAGGCAAAGACGAGGCAATGGTGAAAAGCATGACAGATATGACAGCTGGGGACCCACAACCTGCAGGGTGTCATGTAGAGATAAAGATACTGGCAGATACAGAGATGAGCACAAATAGACCAACTATGGTTAAGGAAGAAGTGGGTCAGGACCCCGAGATCATAATGTACCCCCAAAGTTGTTTTTAACCCACCTTAAGCTGGTTTGCTAGTTTAACAAATGCTATGGAACTTCCACCTACCATACACAATTTTCTTGCTTCATTGACATCCGTGGTTTTTTCATCATGATCTGCAAACAGTGTCCATGTGTCCCATTGTAAAAAGCTTTTTATTTGATGCAAAGCTTTTTAGGAAAGAGATCTGCTTTTCGCTACATGGATGCTGTTGAAGGTTAATTATTACATATGGACCAACCTGTGTCTTACAATACATCCGGCTAATGCTTACTGGTTTCCTCAATAATGAGAGACTTTCACAATTCCTTGTGCTTCTTTTCACCTATCTGGAAAACCAAAATAAAACACAATAATCTAGACAGGAATAAATGACTAGCAGTTTTCTGAAGTTTTTTAATAGAAACTCTATTTTATGAATATCTAGCAATTTGGAAGGTAAGAATTTGGACAGAGTGGTGTTTTTATAGCTTTTTTTTGTGGTGCTGAGAATTGAACCCAGAGCCTCCTGCTTCACGTAAGTCGAGTTTCATTTGCAGAAATTAGTCAGCTTTAGACTGCAGGATACCTTTTGGTGTGAAGGTAACGTTGTGAATCCACACTGGTGAAGAATCAGTAATTCTGGACTATGTTTGCTTACGGGAAACACAAAAGTGCATAATTTATGAAACAAAATTTAGATAAAACACACTTTAATTCTTTTCAAAATAATTGGGTATGTTGCTTAAATTTGTTCAGTTTTTTTTTCCTAACGATCTCACATATTAACATTTTTTTGGTAGCTCTTTGCACGTAATGCAAACAACACAAAGGTTATGTCCCTTTTGAAATTAAAGAGTATTTGTTTCAAACTCATTCCTTTAAAGTTAATAGCATTTACACTGAAAAGCAACTGACATTTATGTTTATGCAACACATGAGTTTTACTAGCTGTGGATAGAAGACTGTTATGGTTTATAAAGAATTTTCAAAATATTATTTCCATGAGAAGTAGATTTTAAAGTCAGATCATAAAGACAACAAATAAACAAGTGGATATGGACCAATACCACTTGTGTGGTACTCTTGTTAAATATGCATAATCTGGATCCAAATGGAAGAGATAATTGAGAAATTTTAAGTGAAGACTGATACTTATAACACATTGAAGCTGTGAAAAGTTGAAAATTTATGGTAATAGCTGAAGATTCGAGAAAGTTCTTAGGATAATGGATACATATCAGTGACACATGCTTTTTAACTCTGAAATTTGAAATTTCTTCAAAATACTACTACTTGAAATATTTCATTATTTTAAAATTTAACATCTAAAAGAAAAAGATGAAACAGGAACTCTCTCCAGGAGATGATACTATATTCACCTAAGAGGAACATTTTATTTTTTCTTAATGATCTTATTCAGGAAGAGTAGTAACTCCAAGATCTGTTTAGCCACATAGCCCGTGTGTGTGTGTATGTTGTGTGTGTGTGTGTGTGTGTGTGTGTGTGTGTGTGTGTTATACTGGGAATTGAACCCAGGGTTTTTACACAGAGTAACGACCCAACCTTTTACAAAAATTAAATTTTCAAGGCCAGCGATAAAGTTCAGTTGCACAGTAACTGCATGGCAAGCATGAGGTCCTGACTTCACTTCCTATTACAAAAAATTTATATTTTCAGACGGGATCTTGCTATTCTAGTAAGCAGCCTGAGCTGGGCTTAAATGGGGGTCCTCCTACTTCATCCTCTCAGAATGCTGAGATTATAGGAAAGCCCTGCCATGTCTGGTTTCCCATGTTTTCTTTATAATTTTTTTTCCTATCAAACTAATAGTGTTTATTTAAAAATTTATTTACTGAATTTCAGTCTATTCATAATTAGACACGAGTTCCTCTTTTGCTGAGTTGTGATGATTTCACCAGCCCCCACCCTCGAAAACGTTCTCCTGTGAACCAGGGTTCTAAGCATACAGCAGACCCTTTGAGTTAAGAACTTGTCTGTTTTTGAAAAATTAATGAATTCCTCTATACTCTTCTTCTCGTATTTGAACTGAGATAATGCTTGCTGAACATTAATAGACACAGCTACTCACAAAATATAACCTTACATGACTACATTTTACAGAAACGTAGTTTGGGCTTTACACCAATGTTAACCTCTTATTCTTCCTGGTGAATAAGGAAAGGTTTTGTTCTTTTTTTATTTATTTTCTTCAGTAGCAATCAGGACAGATTCAAAATATAATAACGAAATCCCCTCCGAGTTTGTGGAGTGGTAGAACCAAACAAAGCCCCAAGCTCTGCAGGGGGCTTGCTCTATTGCGAGATGTGGTCAGATATCCAAATGGAAATCACATCTCCACCTTGTCCTTGGGAATTGTGTTAGTCAACTTTTGGTCACTACAGGAAAATTGCTGAGGCAAGTCATTTGCAGAAAGGAAAAGTTTACCTTGGACCCTAGTTCTAGAGGATCTAGTCCAAGTTTGAATGGCTGGCTACTTTGGAACTTTGCTGACGATGATGCATCAAGGCAGGAGTGTCTGGTGGAACACATTGCTTACCACATAACTCAGGAAGTAAAGTAAGATAGGCAGGGATTGGAATCTCATACTGTGCGCTTTGAGGCACCATGATTTACAGATCTCCCACTAGGTTATGCCTAGAAAAGAAGCATAGCATCTCCCAGTAGTGACACTCTGGAGGTCAAACTCATCCAGCCCATAGCAGGACCATCCATACTCCTCAGTTTAAGTGGCAGGTAATAGAAAGACTGGAGAATTACATGTTAGCTTTCATTGCCTCCATTAGAAATGACACATGTCACCTTCACTCTGTTACCTTGACTGTGCTGAGTGCACAGCCTCACCCAGAGGCAAGAAGCTGAGAGGACTGCCTACTCATGTCCTGAGGGGAGAACGGACAGAGAAAATTTCTGTTGAAATCCTGGCACTACATATTGAATGCCTTCTTGATTTTCCTTCAATGCTTTTCAGTTTCAGTGCTCTCTCTCTCTCTGTCTCTGTCTCTGTCTCTGTCTCTGTCTCTCTCTCTGTGTATTATTATAGACTACTACAAATGTTTTCCATGGTCTCCTGGGATTTTTTACTAGAAAAATTCAATTTACTCACCGTCTAGTCATTTGTGCTTCATACTATTATATTACTTAAAGACACTTTCTGAATTTCCATCTGTTGTGTTGTGTTAGCTGCAAGTGATTTATGCCTAGAGAATTTAGCTGTCATCTAGAACTATACCACCAAAAGTCCACCCTCAAATTATTTAGAGCGGATGGCCATGGTTTACATTCTTTAATGGAAGTATATACTTTGCGAGTATAAAAACTTAATGGAAAAAGATTACTCTGCATGCAGCACTGGTGATAATGCACACTTTCTTAAAACCATTGATACAAAACATTTGTATAATTGTCAGAGCCCAAGCTGTTTTAATTGTGGCTAGGCATCATGAGAAACAAACTCAGAAAGCCCTAGAAGAGAGTTGATTATCACAAATGCTCTCAAACAATGCCAACAATAATGAGAAAACCTCACAAGAATATGATTTTGAAATAGAAGCAATGGACACAGTTTGAAAAGGGATTAAAAAGCATCAAATACTTAATCTTTTTAGTTTTTATTTCTCAAAGCATTGGTCTGTAAGCGTGATGACTCTCAGCCTGTCTTATTATTTTTGTTTCCATGCAGTCAGAAACACAAGAAGAGTTTCTTTCTCAGGATATTTTGAAATTTTAGTTTCAAATCCTACCATGAATTCGACACAGTAGAAACAGATGAAAACAAAGAGCTTACTGTTGTGATTTTGGAAAAACTGTTTTCTTTTGAACAGAAGGATTCAATTCTGAACTTGATTTAAATTGGGCATTTAGGGGGTAATAGTTATTCCAAGGCATTAAGTGGGGAGACCTGGAAGTGGTACCTTCATTCCAGCATCCATGATTGCTGCTCTCTTCCACAGACAGGAGACGTGTGTAAACAAACACAGTCCTTCTGGAGCCCATTAAGGAAGTTGCACTCAAACCACCCCAACCCCTTGACTTTTCCTTTCCCTAACACTCACAAATGTAGTCCACACCATGTTGAATCTTCTTCCAAAACTCCTGTTTGGTTGCTTCTGTTCTCTCTACCACCCTATCTTGTTAAAAAATGTGCAGATAGCATCTTGACTATCTATATTGAGCATCATGCTGATGGAACCTCATCCTAGAGCCTGAGAAATGACATAGAAATGCAAATATACTGAGGACCATCTCACTTTCTTCTGCAGGATAGACTTCAGTGGCCACTGCTGCTCACAGACTGGATGGGGTCCGATGCCCTCAGCAGGACCTGGAAGGCTTTTCCAATCTCAGCCACAGTCTTCTCTCACACAGTGGAGCCCTTCTAGCTGTGAGTATTTGGTGGGGACAAAGGAAAAAGAAAAGTATGGAAGCAAAAACCTTAAAGAGTTTTGGGATAAAGACTCTGTGAGCTGATGGACCACACACAGTAAAGCTAGAGCATTAATAAAAATATTCTTTCTCAGTTGAGATGAATTGCTGCAGAAACTGTCATTTAATGCTTTGACTAGAAAGTTTATGTTTTGGAAATTTTCTGTTTGGAAGCAGGGAATTTCTACAGAATGACCTTAGTGATAGAAAGGGGAAATTATAGCGAGGTTCCTGTGTACTATAAATTCATGACCAGGTTGCATAAATCTTCCTTTTTATGGGTGCAACAGTTTTTAGTTTGGGGTTAAGGCTTTCAGAGCTTTTTTTGTTTGTTTTTAATGTCTGCTAATTCAGACTAGTTAATACAAGCCTTGAATTGTGAATTGATCAGTTACTAACCAATTCATTCATGCCTGCTCTCCTTAAAAAGTGACCGTGAGTGAGGGCAGGTCCAGGAGTTTGATTTGAGGTTGGTAGACTGGGTGATTTATTGATTAGAAGTAGAGATGACAGAATTTGCCTGAATCTGAAAGTTTGCATGGTGAGTACACCAATTCTTATACAGATATTTGTTTGTTTATGGTAACTTTAAAGGAAACTGAAGCTTTCAAGAAGGTTGAGGTCATGGCTCCTGTGACTGCTACATTTAAACAAAATGTTTGAACATTTTTTTCTTCTGTGCAAAAACACTTTGCATCACAATAACCCATCTTAGCCGTAATGGTCCAGCACTATGTTGTGTCTTCGGAAGTTTGCTTGTCTATCCTCTGCACATGTATTGTCAGCAACTCCAGAGAAAACCTGTTGGCATGTGAATTTTCTTGGAACCTGCTACCATGTTTCATATCTAGTGAAATCTCAGTAACTATTTGGTAGTGAAATAGTGGTTTCCTTTTAAATGTGTATTCTCAGCAATAGCAATTGGCTCGTCTCTGGGTAGAGGTTGGTGTGTCATCATTGAAGAGATTCAAAAAGGGGAATTTAAGTGATAATACACTTCGTGATTATCTCATTTCTGCCATCTAGTTTTGGATTTGAGGCCTAGTCATAAAAGTCATAAAGATCTGTCTCAAGGAATCCTAACAATGAAGATCTGGAAGAATTTTAAATAACTAGTTAGGTGTTTATATTTGGAAATGGAGTGTCTGAGAAAACTAGTCCGGTACTCAGTCTCAAAGCCTGCTGGTACCCAGACTGGGACTGAGAATCCCAAGTTTAATAGGTTTTTTGTTGTTGTTGTTTTTTTTTTTTTCCACCTGGTGCTGCTTGCCTTTTATGTTCTTGCCTTTTAATGTTAGCCTCAGCTATGGCTTTTTACTGGACCTAGCTAAAAATATAATTTCAGCTTAATTTATACTTTTAGAGTATTCTAATTAAAACTCAACTATGTAACAAAGTGATCATAGGATCTATTTGTTACTTATTATATGTAAATTCAAAGAACATGATTTTGTTTGTGCTGATGCTCTAAGTTAAAAAGCAATTGTGATCTCTCTGCCTCTAAACTGTAAGGGATAGGAAGAAAAGTCTATCTGGAGAAATATCTGTGCTTTAAAAAAAACATTATTAATTGTAATAGAAAGCATGCTATGTCTTTAGTGTATTTGGAAATTTATCTCTGAGATTTCTATATTTTGCTTATTTGTAAACCAAAACCTTTCACTATGTGGTTTGCACAAGGGGTTTGACCTTCATAAAAATAGACACTCATTTTCTTTTTTTTTTTTTTTGAATTTTTTCTTTAATTAAGACAAACATAAGAAATGACTAAATAATTTTTTTTTGAAACAATAAGGGGGAGATTGAGATAAAACAGGACATAACAATATAACAATAGAGGTCACAGCATGACTGTTTCAATAACCTAGTACTTCACCACCTTATAACCTGACTTAATAGTAGTTACCATAGTGTCTTTTTCCTTGAAATATTTGGGTAAAACTTCATATACTCTAGCTTCAAATATTTTCATATCAAGAAGCCCAGAATAAAGCCTTTCTAGTTAATGAGTGAAAACTTTATAAGGCTTCAAGGCCACCTAATGGGGAATCATGATTACCACATATTTTTATATATTTGAATCATTACTTACATTAGGGAAACTATTCGGTATTCACACATGCGAGATTGATTTATTTCACTTATGAGTATGGTCTCAAGCTGTGCCCATTTATTGATAAATATCTCAATGTGATCCTTCTTTATAGCTGAATAATACTCCATTGTATAGAAATACCACAACTTTTTTATCCATTCCTCAGTTGATGGGCACTTGGGTTGTTTCCAAGATCTGGCGATTACAAATTGTGCTGCTATAAACATAGGTGCACATATATCACTGTGGTATGATGCTTTCAGTTCTTCTGGGAATATGCCTAGAAGTGGAATAGCTGGAATAAATGGGATTTCCAGTCCCAACTTTTTGAGAAATCTCCAGACAGATCTCCACAAAGGCTGTACCAGTCTACACTCCCACCAGCAGTGCAGGAGAGTTCCTTTTTCCCCACAGCCTCTCCAGCATTTGTTGTCGGTTTTCTTGATCCTGGCCATTCTTTCAGGAGTGAGATGGTATCTCAGTGTGGTTTTAATTTGCATTTCTCTAATGACCAATGATGATGAGCATTTTTTCATGTATTTATTTGCCATTTGCATTTCTTCATCTGAGAATTGCATATTCATCTCAGATGCCCATTTTTGGATTGGATCTTTGAATTTCGGAGGTCTGAGTTTCTTTAATTCTTTGTATGTTTTAGACAAGAGGCCCTTGTCTGAGAGAGAGTTCACTAAAATCTTTTCCCAGTTTGTGGGTTTTCTTTTCACTATGCTGGAGATTTCTTTTGACATGCAGAAACTTTTTAATAAGAAGTGGTCCCAGTTATTGATTCTGGGAAGTATTTCCCGTGCGGTTTGAGTCCTGTTCATGAATTCTTTACCTACTCCTATGTCTCCAAGGTTTCTACCTATTTTGTCTTCCAATAGATTTAATGTTTCTATTTTAATATTCAGATCTTTGACCCATTTACATTTTAATTTAGTACATGGTGATAGACATGGGTCTAGCTTTAGTTTTCGGCAAATGGAGAGCCAGTTTTTCCAGCACCATTTATTAAAGAGACTGTCGTTCTTCCAGTGAACCTGCTTGGCTCCTTTATCAAAAATAAGGTGGTTGAGTGTGTTCGTAGTTGTGGTTGTATCTTCTAATCTATTCCACTGATCTTCAGCTCTGTTTTGATTCCAATACCATGTTGATTTTACTACTGTTGCTTTGTAGTATAACTTCAAGTCAGGGATTGTGATGCCTCCTGCTTTGTCTTTGCTGCTTAGAATTGCCTTTGCGATTCTAGGTCTCTTCTGGTTCCAGATGAAATTTAGGAGTTATTTCTCTAGATCTATAAGGTATGTTGATGGTATTTCTATTGGGATTGCATTGAATCTGTATAACAGTTTTGGGAGAATGGCCATTTTCACAATGTTTGTTCTTCCTATCCATGAGCAAGGGATGTCTTTCCATTTTCTGAGATGATCTTCAATTTCCTTTTTCAGTGTATTATAATTTTCACTGTATAAGTCTTTCACTTCTTTCGTAAGAGTAATTCCTAAATATTTCATTTTTTTGCTTGCTAATGTGAATAGTCCAGTTTCTCTTATTTCCCTCTCTGTAATTTTGTTGTTCGTGTATAGGAATGCTATTGATTTCTGAGTATTGATTTTGTATCCAGCCACATTACTGAATTTATTTATTGTATCTAAGAGTATTTCAATGGAGTTTAGGGGGTCTTCTATGTAGAGTATCATGTCATCTGCAAACAATGATAATTTAACTTCTTCTTTTCCTATCTTTACCCCTTTTATTTCTCTTTCTTGCCTAATTGCTCTGGCTAGTACTTCCAGTACTATATTAAATAGGAGTGGTGATAAAGGACATCCTTGTCTTGTACCCGATTTTAAAGTAAAGGCTTTCAATTTTTGGCCAATTAGTATGATGCTGGCTGTTGGTTTGTCATAAATGGCCTTTATTATATTGAGGTAAAGACCATTTATTCCAATTTTCTGTAAAGTTCTTATCATGAATAAGTGTTGGACCTTATCGAAGGCTTTTTCTGCATCTATAGAGATGATCATGTGATTCTTATTTTTGGCTTTATTGATATGGTGGATTACATTTATTGATTTGCGTATGTTGAACCATCCTTGCATTCCTGGGATGAATCCCACCTGGTCATGGTGTATAATCTTCTTGATGATTTGCTGGATCCTATTTGCCAATATTTTATTGAGGATTTTTGCATCTGTGTTCATTAGGGAGATCGGTCTATAGTTCTCTTTTATAGTTGGGTCTTTCTCAGGTTTTGGTACTAGAGTAATATTTGCTTCCAGGAATGACTTAGGAAGGATTGCTTCCCTTTCAATTTCATTGAATAGTTTGAGGAGTGTCGGCATTAGGTCTTCTTTATATTTCTTGTAGAATTCTACAGTGAATCCATCTGGGCCTGGGCTCTTCTTGGTGGGCAAGGACCCAATTACATTCTCAATTTCATTAGCAGAGATTGGGTTATTCAACAGTTTTATATCCTCTTGATCTAGCTTTGGTACTTCATATGCTTCTAAGAATCTGTCTATTTCTTCTGTGTTATCAAACTTTTGAGAGTAGAGGTTTTCGAAATAGGTGTTGATGATCCTCTGTATTTCTATTGGGTCTGTAGTGATTTCTCCTTTTTCATTTCTTATTGCATGAATTTGAGCTTTTTCTTTCCTTTTTTTAATAAGGTTGGCTAGGGGCTTATCGATTTTATTTATTCTTTCAAAGAACCAACTCTTTGATTCGTTGATTCTTTGGATGGTTTTCTTAGTCTCTATTGCATTGATTTCTGCTCTGATTCTTATAATTTCCTCTCTTCTTTTGGCTTTGGGCTTGACTTGCTCTTCTTTTTCTAGCTGTTTGAGGTGTAGCATCAAGTT